ACTATAACGCACTGAGTTGAAGGAACATAATAAGTTATCGTTCGTCTTTCTGTCCTTCTATACTAATTTATCGTGCATTCATCCAAATATGGTCTAGCTGTGATGCTTACATAGTACAAGACCCGGCCTCGAATTTCGACTGTCATCTAATAACGGAATGATATATGTTCCAAAGGCATGTCATACTAATTTTTCTACTCACATAACTAAAATGGCATTTAGCGTACGGATATGTCCACGCTAAATGATCGATTGATCACGGATTATCGATCTGTGACTTATTCACAATATTAAACACGTTACCATGGCAACACGATTTCTTAAACACATTACAATTGCAACACAGTTCATTGAACACAGCTTCAGTAATTTGGAACATGTCGGGCCTGTCAATTGTATTATTAACTGTCAACTGTAATTTTCAAATTTTGTATCAGCATTATTCAAACAATATTCGGTTGTATTCTTCATTGGAAATATATGCGAAATGTTGACGGAAGTGAAATAGAAGAGAATGTTTTGGTACTTGCATATCTCCAAGAAGTGTAGAAATGAAGCATCCATCTTTGAGAACAATTCATTCATTCTGCGCTGAGCATGACAATAAATGTGAAACAAAGGTTAGTGAGCAATGGACTGGACACATCTACAACCAATATCACTTATAAGTATCTCGCTGGGCATGCAGTTGCATGTATTATGTTCTCAACTCCCATTCCTTTCGAAATATTTTGTAGGTAAGCAGGAATTGCAGGTAATTAATGTTATTTTCGGAATTCGTAAAAAAATCATAGTATGTAACGCGTTTATGAACTCTTCTAGACACTCGTTTATTAAACACTCGCTCGGCTCTGCTCCGCTCGTGCTTAAACTACTCGTTACTAAAAGGACGTTTATAACACTTGTTACATAATATACTATTACGTAACAAGTTCAGAAAAAACTTTTTTTCTGGACATGGTAGAATAGCAATACAATGGGACACATCCCCATATTATATTTCTTTGTCAATTACAATTTCTCCTGGAGAAGCGTCCGAGAAGTGAGCACTCCCCGGACGGTTGCCGAATAAAATAATATATTTCTTCGACCGGCACCTGAGCCTATCACCATCCTGAGCATAAGGATCAAAAACTGTCACTTTTCTGTGCGATAATTTGCACTTAACTTCGTGATTCGACAACAAGATCCCTATCAACACAAGAACATCCTAGGGACTTCCCAAGGACGTCCTTGATTTTATAATAGGACATCCCAGGGATATCATTTGTCGGATAAAGTACCTTCTAGGGATGTCCTACGTTCCTGGGTTGAACCAAGTATAAAGAAAGGAAATCTGTAGGACGTCCTAAGGTTATTCCAGGGACATCTCCTTGACAAAAGGAAAAAAAGTAAGTAGGGATTGAACCCAGGACCTTTAGCTTATCAGGCACGTACCTTACTCTATTGTCATAAGCCTTCGTTTATGTACTAAACAGATTTATAAACAGAAATAAACTACCGGAACCTGAATGAAAACATCTTTGTTAGGATTTGGTTATAGTTATCATTATTCTTGGGTGTTCAAATATGAGGGGCATCACTCATTCACGATTTCTGTTTGCGGAAAATGGTCATTTCTCAAGATGTTCTGATACTATTTTCTCTATTTTCATAACAACTATTTGCGGAAGAAAAACAAACATTTTCAGAAAAGTTCAACTCAATATCTTGATGGAATTCAATGACTCTGATGGTAATGGACATCAGATATTCCAGGGACACGAAAAGGATATCCTAGGGATGTACTAGCCGGGATGTCTACTGGACAACCACTGCGGATCATCCCCTGGATGCCCAATCATGTCCTTGTACCGCGGAACAAAAATAGGGACGTACCTAGGACATCCCTGTGTTGTTAGGGTATGAGAATTATTCCATCTGATACCACTTGAATGAGGATCCCAAGAACTTCCATCTGCCATCCCTTGCTGCTATTGCAGTAAAATGGAGAAATGCCCATTCCTCGGAAGATAATATCCGATAGATCATTTCGGTATGGATCTGCAGATGACATTATATATCGATCAAAAAATCAATAGCTTTGAAGTGATCGAGGAATAGTCGACAATATTATAGGGAAGAATGAAGGTCACAGGAATGCTTAAAAAAATGTGCATTCCATTTAAAAAAAGTTATCCTATTTCTCTCGATTTTTTCCGATACCCCCCTGTATATGCGGTGGTGATTTCTATAGTTACGGACCTTGTTGTCTCATTGACATTCGTTTCTGAATCAAGTTTCTAGCTATCATAGAACTCGATCAATTGAGCTCCGACGCACTAATACCCTACCCTGTATAAGAGTCGATAAGTTTTAGTACGGTACCACCGATTTTAGAAATGGAAAAGCCATCCAGATACCGTGACTGTGATTTCTCATTCCGGTTACCTCAAACTAGGTCTGGATCTGCATTCCTATGAGCGAAAGAAGGCGCTTATGTGTATCTAAATATGTTCCAGCAGATATGAAAGTAGTTTATCTTTACGATATACACGTTTGGGATTTCCCAGGTTTTTATGATGTCAGAAGGGTAAAGCGGTATTATCCCAGAGGATGGAAACACTCTCGGATCGTTATTCAACTGTCTAAATAATTCATATTGAGGCAGCATCGCTATAATATAATAGGTCATTGTTATATGAAAGTTTCTCTGACATTGAATGTACATACATACATGGTGCCTCAAAAGTTAACGTCATCCTTTTGAGGGCCGAAAATTCAGCTCATGCCTTACCAGATTGGAGATATTGGCACTTTCATGAATTTCGTGAAATTATTTTGAAATTGGCTGATACTAAGAGATAAAGAATGCTATACCATTTCAAAAACTACACTGAATATGAAATTTTTTTTAACATATTGTGCCAGGTTCGTGTCATGATTTTTGTTTTGTATGAAGAGTCTAAGTGAGATAATTACCTAATATGAATCGACTCATCAATCGACCAAACATGTTATTTCTTTCCAAAGGTATTGCACCAATATGATAGTACCCTCCCTCCATACCGCCTTCTCTTCTAGGGCTCCAATACCAGCCAGGCAAATCAGAAACGAACGATGGAGAAGTGTTGACAACATAAATATGGACTTGGCAACAATTCTCGCATGGGGATCCAATAACTTGGTAGATTTCAATGCAAACAAAATACAAGCATGCCTTTTCTCCAGAAAAACAGATCTCACTTTGCCCAACATAAGCTTGTCAGGAGTAACCATACCTTTGGAGACATCCATTTCGTGCTTGGTATTACTATCAGCAATAACCGTTCTTGGGAAAATTCCGTGAGATCAATTGCTAAAAGTGCATCCCGAAATGTTGGTTTTCTGTTTCGGGCCTGGAGCTATTTCACTTCCAGTCAGCTACTTATGATCTATAAGGCACTGATCCGACCTGTCTTGGAATACTGTTCCCATATTTGGAGTGCAGCACCCAAACATACCCTGAAACTGTTGGATTCTGTCCAAAAAAGGGCAATTTGTCTCGTGGGTGATGCCTCGCTCACAAAATCACTCACTTCTTTGGACAACCATTGAAAAGTTGACGATCTGACTCTATTTTATAGACCCCTCCGTGGTCACTTCGGAGTCCTGCAGAACATATCTTTCCAAAGACTCGTTCATCCAACGAACAGCGATGCTCTGGAACACATTGCTAAGGGAGGTGTTTCCCGAGGTATATAACCTTATAAATTCAAGGAGAACACCGATTACACCGATTCTTAAATTATTTTCCTTGGTTCTCACGATGCTCTCTGAGCATAACAGAATATTCCTTTTCGTGGGAACCAGAACATGAAAAAAAAATCTTCATTTTGTTTTCTTAGGATGACGTTGAAATTTTGGACATCCTGTGAATGTATATCGATTTGAACTCCTCTGAGTATACAGGGTGAAATTCAATTGCTGTCTGAATTTAGGCATACATGATTCCTTAGCTCATTTCGAACAAAAAATTCAATGAGCCCTAAACATGAATTATATATGCCCTGAACCTCTTAACTGTCGAGCTATATAGTGTTAAACTTCATTTAAGAAAAAAAAATGGTTTTCCTACATAACTCCGATACTGTTCTAGATATTTCCATGAAATTTGACATGCACCTACTAAGCAACATGCGGTAGTTTGTTGGTAAGATGTGTTTTTGTCTATTTTTATTCGAGTTAATTCAATTGTCCTTACTACACGAATGTTGAAATAATACTTTCATTCTCGTTTTATGAAAACAAGAAGGAAAAATTCAAAAAAATCTGGAATAATCTATTGACAGAATAAGTCGAATTGATTATTTTTTTTACGAGAAAACGGTGCGTTATAAAGAAAAAATTCATGGAGCCGACTTGGTGCCAAATAAATGAGGATTCCGAAAATTATTTTGGAATTTGGAGAAAGCAAGGTAGGTACCATATTTTTTTTTTCAAAATCTCCAGTACCTACTCTTCTCATACGGACGCCACAGATAAAAATATTGAGAAATCCCAGATCAAGAAATGCCTATTGATCCTTTGTAGATGCATGTCGAATTTCATGTGAATATCTAGGTCAGTATTGGAGAAAATTTTCACTAGTGATTATTGCATTTGGATTACTTATTTCAATTTTTGGGGCCATCGTGATCATCTGCTATTATTACCCCAACTATCTGGGGTAATGGTTGCCACACAATTTTTTTCATTCATTCTGTAGAAAACAAGGTTTTTATTGTTTCATACGTTTCAAATATTCAACAAATTTTCATCAGCAGGAATATCATCCTCATTTGTTTAATCGTTTATCTGATCAATGACCATAAAATAATATATTCCTTGGCATCTTTCATATAAAGCTGGGTAGTTTCCATCAGTTGCTTCCACTGAGATCGTCAAAAATCCATGAATCCCAGGAAACAGATCAATACCACTGAAGAATCCATCAAAAAGGCTTAAATGGAAGGATCATTAACAGAAACAACAAATAACAATAATAATCATTTTTTTTTCAACGTCGATAATCAGCTAATTACAAAATGAAAAACTTATTACATATTTTCTTATTGTAAACATATACATATAAACATGTTCTTAAGTGTCTAGCTTAACATTAACAACATCGAAATGATCAATAATATTTGAAGCATTGTCCGTGATGCTGAATCACTATAGGAAGAGTTGAAGGTAACTGAAAAGTATACAAATATGTTAGACATCAACAATCCTAAAATATTAAAGGTCGTTGTGTGAGCAGTACTGGGGAGAAACACATACAGTGCCCCTTCAAAGTCCGTTCCCCCCTTATCAATTTTTGAACCACCTGGTATATCGCTACGACATTTGGAGTCACGAAAAAACAACAGTTTGAAATTTGGAAATGGCGGCTGGGCGCTATCTGGAGTTATTTTTCCAAAGGAACACCCCGTATATTATTTTTTCATTCAAGAAATCTTTGAATAAATCTTGACAGTTTCATCTGATACACTTGACTCCTGAATTCAATAGTTTTCGAAATATTACCGTTTGAAAAGTGACATTTTTGTCGTTCCTTCAGTTGAATTTGCTCTGGAAATCAATCATTCGTGTTGATTGAAGGCAAAATTCGATTTTTTGATTGGGTTCTGAATGACCAAAATGTCAGTTTTTTCAAACGTTGATATTTTGTAAACTATTGAATTCAGAAGTTGAGTGTATGTAATGAAATTGTTGAGAATTATGAGAAGATTTTCAAAATAGATCGAGTCATGGGTTCCATGATGGCGCTAAGCCATCATATTCTTTTTGAAGTCTCTAAATTTCGTTGTGATATACCAAGTGGATCAAAAATCAGTAGGGGAGATCGGGCACTAGGAGATGGACAGGTCACGTTCCTCCATTAATTCACTTCATGCATCTTTAAGGCTTTATCATCAAATCCCAAGAATGAGACCTCCTGATCACCGCACGTGTTCACTTCATAAGGAAAAGCACTCTTCTTTTAATGAATAATCTTCGTGTTTTTCCACGATATTATACTGGCCTGCCGTTGTAATATTCGTTCAAACAAACTGAAGCGCTAATAATTGATAGCATGCAATCCGCAGCAGCTGAAAGGGCTCAAAAGGGTTACGAAAAACTGAAGAAAATTGAAGGAGACTATCGTGTTCTCAAATTGCATGCCGATGTGAAGTAGAGAAGTTCTAGTAACAAAAACACTCTGGAGAAATTGACATGCGTTCCTCGTCTGACCAAGGATGGAAGATTTCTGGAAAGCTCTGTAACAGGGCAATACAGGTTAACCGTGATTCCAATTTGCATGCCATTAGAATGATACTCCATTCATATTATTCATATTTCAGGGTTGATTAGGAAGCCTTCAAATGGTATGCAGTGTGAAATGGGAGAAAGTCACCTATCACCTTCTCCTGGTCTAATACTTATACACATCTAAAAAAGCGCCAAAAATTAGATAACTTCCGAAAAGAAACCAATAAGATGTCATGTTTCATAGACAGTAGTTGTAATGATGATGGAAGTAAGATATGGTGCGCGCATTCGGCCATTATTACGTATTAAAAATTTCAGAAAAATCACTCGACCGCCTACTATGATTTCTCTACGTCACAACGAGCGAGACGTTGATTCTACATTTTCCCGCTGGTGATGCTGCTATTGCTGCTGTGACGAGTGGAAATAAAATGGCAAATGGCATTTTAGGTACGCGGAACATATGTAACAGTGGAATTATTCAACTCTGTTGTCGAAAAATCTGCGACAATTTGAAAATTGACAGATATCATAATTGTGCAATGTCGCCATCTATTAGAAGATCAACGGAACCATTGCTCTCACTGTTCTCGAGAGGTCGAGTGACATTTCTGAAACAAAAGCGCATCAGTGATTACACCATATCTTACTCCCATCATTGTTGTAATGTTCTCCAAATGTCAGAAAATGATGACATTAGACATTGGATCTGTGGAAGTTTTATAGTTTGCTGTTCCAGCTTCAATTTAGGCTGTTTTTGTGAAAGATAACAAACGATTTCTACATCAAGTGAGGAAATTCTCCATGACATATATTCAGGTTGGAAACAGTGATTTTTATTTGACACTGACAGAAAATTTTATCTTCCTGGAATGGTAACTATCCTGCCTTGTCAAACTGGTCTAATTTCAGAAAGACTATACCTCTCTTGTTCTTGAGAACCAATCAGAATCGACTACTCTCACGGATTCTCCTGTATTCCCGAGATCTTTTTTGTTTACTCTTGCTCCACCAATACAGGAGCCGAATTTACCCATACGTGACCATCCAACCTCGTTTATAGCGGTCAAATTTTTGACGCTCATAACGTCAATTATATTGGAAGTCAACAAAGCTCTGGATGACCAAAAACCCTTTCGTGGTAATGCGAGAGCAATACAAAAAATGAGTGTCGAATCATGGATGCAAATTGCGAACCACATTTCAAGAATGGTGGAACAACTCGCCAGGAATGAGACAGGCAAAAGAGTTTATTAAAAAAACCATCGCCAACATTCACAGAATATCTACTGAGCCAGAAACGAAGTACAACTAGCATACTACACCATTTTCAATTGTAATTCAGGAAGTATAAGATGTAATTCAGAATAGTCAATTGTGATTCAGAAAGTATAACTTGAAATTCAGATTAGTGAGATGTGATTTAGGAAGTGTTACTTGTAATTCAGAATAGTGAAATGTCATACAGAAACCGTCAATTGTAATTCAAGAAGCATTACTTGTAATTCAGAAAGTATCACTTATGATTCAGAAACTAGGAACAACCCGTTGCATCCGTTCTCCCTGAGGTCCGGGTGTTGGAGAACGACGACTTGTTCATCTATGTAGAACAGAATATTGACCAGGCCAAAAAAATAATCATTGTTGGAGGTGATTGTGCTAGAGCTGCACAACACACCACTATTCACCATGCAGCAGCCCTGGCATTTCAAGATAATAATATATGCCCGTTGGTCGATAAATATAAAATATTGATGTTCACCACACAATGAATCATTCGTTCTATTCCCTACCCTTATTTGAGTCCATAGTATTTATGAATTACAAGTAATGCTTTCTGAATCACAAACTACGCTTCATGAATTACAATTGACTATTCTGAATTACAAGTTACACTTTCTGAATTACATTTCACTAATCTGAATTACATGTTTTGCATTCTGAATTACTATTGACTAATCTGAATTACAATTCACGTTTTCCGAATTACAATTAATTATTCTGAATTACAAGTTACACTTTCTGAATTACAATTGAAGAAGGTGTAGTGGGACTTCTCACAGGGCATTGTAAGCTCACCAAACACATGAGGACGATAGGCCTGAGTGAAGAACTGCTGTGCAGGTTCTGTCAGAAAAAGGAGGAAACAGCAGTACACATACTTTGCCACTGTGTGGGCTTGTCAAGACTAAGGTTCCTCACGCTGGTTAAGGAAAAACCAAGAGCTCAAAGTTACACAGGGGATCTGAAAGCTAGGCTATGGAGTCTCATAGAGATGGCGGGGCTAGCCAAAGAACGATTTTGTGTGCAGACACAATAGATCTGAGAAGGTTGCGGTGTGGAGGCAGACAGTCTGAAGGCCTTACTCTAAATCTAATCTAATCTGGATGATGTCGTCGATTTCAGGTGGTGATTCCTCGTCATATTTCATGTTCCGTTCCCAAGTATCTCCGTCCAAAATCGGTTTTTCTTAAATTACTCAAAATTCTTTCCGCCTATTTCGACTAAGCTTTGTGTGTGTCCCATTTGTGATACGATGCTATTTGTCATGAAATTTTGAAAAACCCACTTTATAGTAACACTTTGACACCTCGTTAATCGGAAAGGAAGAAAGTAATATGAACTTTGTTTTATAAAATAGGACTAGAAATCACCCCCTGAAATTAATAACATCATTTGAGTAACACCCGGTTGAATAATTTGAGTAGTCATATCATACATAGTGAGACAATAGTGACCGTATTCACAATATATTATTATTATCAAAATATCCAATAAACTGTATTATTTATTACATTGCCTTTCAATTTTATTTTTGTTTCACGATATAAATATGAGGATAAGAGCGACTCTTGCGTAGACTAAGCTGAATGAGAAAAAAAGAAATTACTTTCAAAAAAATAAAATGGAATTTGAAGAGTATGCAAGCAAATTCAATAGGTCGCGTGCAAGAACTGTCAGATGACTGACCCTAGAGGCAAAACATATTTGTTTACAAGTGATCGAAATAGTTTTCCACAATTATTTTGGCATATGAATCGTATTTTTCCGCTATTCATCAATTCGCTAATGCCATTACATTTTGCTGTTGTAAAATGCACAAAAACTGCAGCGGAAGATGAAGAAATCCGGATGGTACATTATGATTCAAAAGTAAGTACCCACTATAGTCACTCACATAGTTTTCATTTTTGAAATTTGGTTATTCCTCTGATTTCTCATCGGAATTCCTTCTGCAATAGGATCAGCTAACAGAAATATACCTGAAATTTCTAGAATAATGCAAGAAGATTGGATTCATGCTATCAATCGGTAGGACTGGTCTGACATGCTGACGATCGTGTGTGTTGTAGACATTTTCAATCTATTAGCAGCATTAGCTTGTATTGCAGAAGTGGCAGAAGGCAGAAGGAATTTTAATAAGGAATGACAACATTTCATAATGCTGACTATGGTAGATTACTATTTACCTGAAAAATCATATTCCCTAGTCTCTTGCTGCATTTTTTGTGCATTGTACAACAGCACAATGCGAAGGCATCATGCTTGAATTAATGAATAACGCAAGAAACACGATTCGTATGCCAAAATATTGTGAAAACTATTTCAACCTTTTGATTCCTTATTTGTAACCAAATAAAAAAGTGAGGTTGTGTTTCAATAATTCACAGAAGAATGAGGTTGTGTTTCAATATTTTGCCTCCAGGGTCCTTCGTGCACGCGACCTATGCGGCCATGTACACAAAGAAGAATAAGAATGAATTTGTACTAACCTCTTTCTGGGACGGGATCTCTAACACTACCTAGCTTGAGCACTGCCACTTCTCGATAGATGGCACCTATTTCTGAAACACATTGAAGGACTAGTCGACCATCACTGAAGTGTGCTTCTGAAAGAACCATCAGCAGCGGAAGGTCACTCCACGTTGGGTGTTTCTGGGAGGGAGACGCACTACTTCTGGCTACCTTTAACGAAACAGATGATGCGAAATTAATGAAACTCCTGATGACTGAGGGGTGTGACGTGCCAAATGCAATTTTTTTTCTCATTACTATTCGAATGTTCAATGATGCGAGCCTTTTAGAGGTCTAAAGAAGTTTCACGAATATGGACAGCTAAATATTGAAATGTCAAGAGTCACTAAGGACTATTACAAGTTTCCTCATCGCTACTGGGTGATTATCAGTAGTTTCTGAATGGATAATAGATTTTGAACAATGCAGGAGACATGAAAGTTGACAGAAAAATTTGATAACCAATCCGTATATTTTCAAGATGATCAATCCTTTCGCTCCTAGTGTTCTCAAATTGGGACTGCCTATCAAATCAAAATCAAATCAAAATGTACTTTATTGCCTGAAGAATATAAATTCTTATTGACAAAGCGTTTGAGAACTTAGGTACTAATCACATGAGTAAATTTACATAGCGGCCGAAGTCACACGACATAGTCTTATCAGTATCCTGAATATAAACGATAAATATAATATACAAAAATATAAATAAACATACACACATTTGTTGGTAACGGCAAAAGAGCTGCCTTATACCAATGTCAATGTCATACAGGTATATGATAATAATAAAAGTTATAAAATATTATAAAAAACGTCATAAAAAAGATCATAAAAAAAGATCATAAAAAACATAGATAATAAAATAACAATTAGGAAACCTGATAGAATTCATTGAGATTATAACAAGTTCTCTCCAAAAGAAACTGTTTCACGGATTTCCTGAACTTTTGTTCATTTTCAATTCTTTTTAGGTGCAGGGGCAAATGATTGAATAACTTCTTGCTTTCGTAGATAATAGAGTTCTTAGTAAGAGTTGATATGGGAATAGGTAATTTAATGTTTAGGGAAGAGCTGCCGCGAGTAGTGTGAATCGATGACGCGTATCTGAATTCTCTATATTTTTTATGTACTAAGCATACGGTTTCCAAAATGAAAATGCAGGCCAGGGGCAATATTCCATGGAGCAAAAATAAAGGTCTACAAGCGTCCCTCGAGCCGGCTTTGCACATGTATCTAAGAGCTCTCTTTTGGAGCATAAAAACTCTATCGAATAAATAGTTCCTTATATGATTTTAATATAGCTCCTATTCCAAAAATCTTCGAAACCGTATAAAAATCATCGGATTCCCATCATCGAATCTATTCAGTATTCAAGATTTTTTTGGGATTTTCTCTCCTCGTTTCTATGAAATAAGAACATGAATAATTTTCCAATATACGTGTAGTGAGGACAAATCAGATGATTTGTCTCATGATGTCACTGCGTTAGAAGGATTTTCCTATCAGAGAGTCTAGAAGAACATTTCACTATCTTGTCAGTGACAATTTGTATTGAAAAAGGTTTGGAGAACAGAAATGAAGGTATATAGAAAAAATATCGAATGTTCACCTATCTTTGGACGTTTCAAGAACGAAACTGCTCTCCTTTTCAACATAAAGAATGGATTTTCTGTATGGCGAATTCGTATTTCACTCGACACTTCTCATTTTTCAGTGACAATTGGGGACGATGGTTATCAAAGGAGTTACAGGATGTTTTCATCAATTACTCGTGAATTCACCATTTTCATTTACAGATTCCAGTAGTGAATACCATGTTTTATCTATATCAACTGAACAGGGAGCAATGCTATTGTCTCCGTTCAGAACAATGTAAACAGATTCCTTGATTTTTCTCTCCTGGTTGTTATCTCCTTTTCCAATGATTTTAATATCATTCCACTCTGCCATATGTTGTCCATCTTCAGTAAGGATATGTTTTGCTAGTTTCGATTTGTCGATGTGTCTTTTCTTTATTTATGTCCCTTCGTTCTTACTGAGAGAGGTCTCTTGGTTTCAGCTGTATAAAACTTAGAAATGACCTATCGACAAATCGAAACTAGCTGAACATATCCTTACTGAAGATGGACATTATATGGCAAAGTGGAATAATATCAAAATCACTGGAAACGAAGGTAACAACCAGAAATGAAATATCAAGGAATCTGCTTGCATTCTTTTGTACGGAGACAATAGCATTGTTTCCTGTTCAGTTAATATAGATATATATATACAGGGTGTAACTGAATAAGTGTAAAACATTTAAGGAGGTGATTCCTCATCGAAAAAAAGATAGGATCTTTCATATAAAGAAACTTCATTGGAGCATCCCCTGTTAAGATACAGCCCCTTAAAGGGGGTACATAAAATTTGTATAACAATTTTTTTCACAAGCACTGAAAAAGTTACAATATTGAAATTAACCTGACAGCGTCATACCAATTTAATTGTCACTATCGCTAATAGCGACCTACTAGATAGATTAGTTTCGTATTTTCGCATTTATGACGATGTATCTCTGTAGTTGTTCGTAAAATAATGTTTTGCTGCTTACTGGTTTATTTTGGGCAAAAAACCCAAGAGACATTTTTTGTTTAGAATGAAACAGGCTATCGGAAATAAATTTTTAAATGGTGAACAAATAATAAGACAAAAAGTTACATTGGAAATAAATTTTAGGGGTTGCGTTTTTCACCCCTTACAACCATGGGGTAAACCAAATAAATTACTGGCTAAGTGTCTTTTTGGTAGTACAAAACGTCAGGTTAATTTCAATATTGTAACTTTTTCAGTGTTTGTGAAAAAAATTGTTATACAAATTTTATGTACCCCCTTTAAGGGGCTGTATCTTAACAAGGGATGCTCCAATGAAGTTTCTTTATATGAAAGATCCTATCTTTTTTTCGATGAGGAATCATCTCCTTAAATGTTTTACACTTATTCAGTTACACCCTGTATAACTTGGTATTCAATACAGAGATCTGTAAATGGAAATGATTAATTCAAGATTGATCAATAAAAGCATCCTTTAACTCATTTGATTAACAACGTCACCAATTTTTACTGAGAACTGAAAAGTGTCAAGTCAAATACGAATTTGCCATACGTAAAAATCCATTTGTACTGTTGAAAACGGGAGCAGATTCGTTCCCGAAACGCTCAAAGATAAGTGACCATTCATACCCTTATTTCTATTCTCCAAATCTTTTTCAATAGAAATCGTCACTGACAAGCTAGTGAATTTTTCTTTTAGGCTCTGGATAGGAAAATTACTTGAACGCAGTGGCCGTTTGGGGCAAATCATTTGATTTGCCCTCACAACACGTATATTGAAATAGTTTTCAGATTTTCATATAATAGAAACGAGGCGAGAAAATCCCAATAACATTTTGAATAATGAATGAACCACCTCGTCGTATACCCTACAGACAGTATTTATCCGTGAGCGAGAGGGTTTGATCTCGAACATTAACGCGTTCGCATAGCTCGCACAATAAAATATCTGGATCATGATAATCGCCCTCATCAATACACTAGTTGATTGAATTGAATGCTCTTACTGATGAACTCCATGTTTATTTTCAACTAGCCCTTGCATTCCATGTATCCTCGTTTAGCGGTACACTCTCGGTTTACTGTTTGGCAAACTATCGTATACTAGCCCATTGCCCCTCAATATTTCAGCGACCAACTCACCGTTAAATTATTCAACGTCAGAGTCAAAGTGGCCTTTGGTTTGGATGGCGAAGAGGAACAGTTGGCCCGCAAAGTGTCCCCATAGTCCAGGGGTTCCCCCTCCACGCTTATTGTCGGCGGATGCTCGGGTAGCTCTGGAAACAAAACGATAGAAACAGGATGGAAATTGGAATTGTGTTCTATTGTTTTTGAATTTTCCCACTTATACACCGGAAAAAATCTCAGTAATACCCAGGCAAGCAGATGACGAATGATCACGTCACTGTTACGTCCCTAATTGGTTATTTTTTGTCAGAGACGTCACACACCAATTCATGACGTCACTATGACGTACTTTTTATGACGTGATAATCATGTCATCGTTTGAACGTCGAGTGAACGTCACTCAGATGGGTAAGACGTCAGTTTCATGACGTTGCAGAGACGTCCTGTCGACGTCCATTTTTCCAGACCTTCTCTAAACCATGGATACTTGTATATTATCATGCGGAACAGAAGTATAACTCATAAACGCGAATCAACATGCAAGTTTTATTGGAATTATCAATGTACCCGAATAGTGGGAGGAAACTTTTTCCTGAAAAATTTTGACACACTCTGTATATCTCGGAAACCAACGAGCTATGTTTATATATGAATGATTGTTTAGGTATACCTATATTGAAACCGTTACTCTTATGACAATGCAGTGACGTATCTATGACGTCTTAAAATCACGTCGGTGTGATGTACCAATTTGGTGAGCTTCGACATTCAGGAAATTTTTCAATAATTCGCTATTTAGATTTTTGTTGGGTAACAAACAATGCATCAATATACATTATTCAACAAAGTGAAGCCAAATTCGCCAACATATTTTCCATTGCTATCAAACTATTCTTTGTTTGCTAACATCCCGCCGACACATACTACATGATTTTTTATACAAATACAAGTAACTGATTGCATTATGATGGAGATGCGCACTGAAGGATAGCGCTGCTGAATAGGCGATTGAATGAACATGACACAGGAGGGACCCACTAAGCAGGACTCAACAATGCATAATCGATATTATATGTATAATGTCATCAGGGGCCAGTGATGTTTATCACACCAGAAATATTTTCTACATATCATCGCCTAATTTAATCGTCATTTTGACGTCAGTCGGACGTCACAGTTTGGTGAGTGAATGACGTCAATACGACGTGAGTAATATGACGTCATTGGGCTGTGACTTATTCACGTCATTATCACGTCATGCGCGTCAACTACTGACGACTACTGGTGTCATCTTGGTCATTCAAGTGACGTAAAAAAGACGTCACTGGAACGTCATCTGGTAATTATTAAATATTTGTTAAAGTCAAATGTGTTCATAATTAATTAGCCATATTCATAATTGAAAAGGCTTATTCATCAAAATCGTACCTGTTTTCATGCTTTATTTATCAACAATAAATGATATATTACTGTCATATTTGTTAAGTGTGAACAACATCATTTAATAATTAACTGATCTATAACGCCGAATCACGAAGTGGTAATCAATAAGATGAATTTATAATTATAATGTGATTTGTTGATAATCAACATTGATACAGTGTCTGTTAATAAATCTATGCCTTCATTAATCATGATACATTTGTTCATTATAAATACACGTGATATAATGGATAACAATGGATATTTCATTTTATTCTTCGTTTGGTAAATATAATAATTCATGGGCATGGGCCATCACTCAAGTTCAGCTTCAATTTTATAAAGCATGAGCATCTTCATGAAATCGTCGATGATTTCCTTGTGACTTCGACAACCGCGAAAGTTATGAAGTGTGATGGTTATATTATAGTTAAATCCCTTATATGACAGTGCGGGTTTGTTTACATTCGGACATATATGTATATTTACGTCTACAATTAGCTTCTTTGGATAATTTTATAATGGTACGACATCACATGAAAAAATGGCAGACGACTATCAGTGCATTTATTTTACAATATTTAGTATGTTCTCAAAAAAACTGTGGTGCATGTGGTTCTAATCAATCAATATTGGAACATTTTGAACGTAAGTAGGTGCGAATATCTATGTAGTATGCAAGAGTATTGTCTTATATTATTTGCTTTGCATGAATTTGAGGGAATTTATTGAATCAATTAGCAATTCTTCTGAAAAGAAGACATTGAATTATATCAGAGAACAAAACATTTATTCATTATCAATTATTGAAGGTTTATTTTCAAGCTGTATACTTATGAATAAATATTCGGTTGCTAATAACAAAGATTTTGAAATAATATCGTTTGGTGTGGGTAAAGAAATATATATAAAAGAATTTGTTTTTTTCAAACAACCAGGAAAATATGCGTTATGATCGTCTCTGTAAAAGATATCAGTTTATTATGGTATAAAATTTGTCGGTTGAGGGTCGGGTTCATATTTCACAAGGGCTCACGTGCCTTTGAATAACCTGCAGGTGATAATTGAACTTAGAGGAATCAAACGGGAAAGAAAAGGCAAAACTAACCTGATGATAAAGTGAAAGAATCAAATGTGCGTGAAAATGGAGGTTATACAAGACATATCATTTCGAATTGCATGGGTTTCCTTCTGTTTGTGAGAATATTGTGTGATGTTTTTCCACTCTCTTCTGAGATTTTCTCATAATTCTGGTACTGGTAATCATTAGCAAGAATCGTCTACCATGATGTTTATCTCGAGGTTCGCTGAGAGAGGATATCAAACAATTACCTAATTTCTGTATAAAAAATTCCTCTTGCTGTATATTTCATTACCCGAGTCAGACGAGACATTAATGGAGTTTCTACGAGAGGGTCTCGGCTTCGTTATAATATAAGACCTCCATCCACAGATTCTTCAGGAAAGTCGATGGAATTAAAATGATTAAGTGAGTGATTACGAAAGAAGCTTGTTAACTCAATCATGTAAATTATCCGCCATTTTCATTATTTATGTTTCTTCTTCGAAATTGGCATACTGTTCATTCAAAAGAACCCGGTTTCTTTCTCTATTTTGGAAATTAGGGTTGTCATTATCACAGAAATTGAATTGTGGAAGATAGATACGTACTTATTTCATGGCAGTTCTCGAATTTCCGCTTCGTGTTTTTGGGATATCAGGAACATGGCGAAGAAATTCTTCGATATATCGAAGACTGAAACATTCAGCACGATAATATACTACACTGTCGCTAACTATGTGTGGTGACAATAATGTTCACCCTATATTCGGCTATACAAGTCAAATACTAGAATTTGACATAAGTAATCAATTGAGATATTCCAAAGTATTGTCAAAAAATAACTAATTATAAATATACGATATATCTATATTTTGAGTTAAGCTTCAATCTTCTGAAGCGTGAGCATCTTCATGATATCGTCGATGATTTTCTTGTGATTTTGACCAACGCGAAAGTTATGAAGTGTGATGGTTATATTAGTCCAATCCCTCATATCATGACAGTGCGGGTTTTTTTCATTTGGAGTAATGTGGTGACAATAATGCTCACCCTATATTTGGCTATTCAAGTCAAATATCAGAATTTGACATAAGTTAATCAATAAGGATATTTCAAAGTATTGGCAATAAAATAACTGATAATAAATACACGAAATATCTACATAATTATGTAAGCATCTTCAGGAGAAGATTGAAAAAATTCAGTTTTATAAGTCTCTATTGAAAAACATTTTATGACTACTGAATTAAGTATTTCAACCACGACATGTCATCTGATGAACGTGAAACAAGTCACCTTCTCAGATCACTCTTCGTGTTTCAAAAAGGTTACCTACCTCCCAGATTTGAAATGAAACAAGATTATAGTTGAAAGATTGAATTTGAAAGATAATAATTCAAATCCTGAGATGTCATTTCACAGTTATACAAGTATCATTCAAGTTCCATCCCTTTTTCATTTGCCATCTTCGTCATACTCACTTAGCACAATGAGTCATCTCACTCACTTAGGAACACTTTTTACATCAGAATTGTTAGTCGTCTACGGATATCTGATATGTGAGGACCGGACATATTAGCCCGCAGCAGCTCGTAAACCCTTTTTACAGGGTGATAGTTTGTTTTTAGAAAAAGTGAAGTGGTCCCTCCTAAAAGTTTAGGGACATATATGTTCATATACCCCCTAAGTATAGGATTTGTTGGGGAACTACAGAAAGTTGAACTGCATCAGGGCGTTATAGTGTTTTTACGATAAATCGGTAATGTATCGGAAATTCTTCCAATCTGGATGAAATTCTGTATTTTCAAACTACCTACCTCACCATTCACAATATGTCCAAGATAGGGATGTCTTCGTATCCTTATCTTGGACACGGTGGTGATTCGTAAACCCTTATTTACTGACGCCCCTGTTCGAATATTTGTCAACTATGTTAACTAATAATCCAAGGTAGTGACAAGAAGAACAAATAGTCCAAATTGTAGGCAGTTTTGTCCTAGGCAAATTGAGATATTGTGTACTGGAATAACAGCCTGGGGAACCAACAATCTAGTTGAATTCAATACCACCACAACTGAAGCCTTCAATATCTCTAGGAAGGCAGAACTCAGTATGCCTGACATATCATTGTCTGTTGCCAGCATTTCCACCAAGTCCACTAAGCTCGGTATTTTCATCGATAATACTCTTCCATAGAAAAATCATTTCACATCCATCGTGTGAACGCTGCTTCACAAAAACTCGAATTCAAATTTCGTGCAGATGTCTACTTCACACCTCAACAGCCTCTCATGATCTACAAAGCACAGATGTGACCTGTTTCAGATGACTGTTTCCACTTATGGGGTTCAGCACACAAGCATACGCTAATACTCTTATATATTTCATCCATAAAAGAGCTTTTCGCCTGGTGGGTGATGCCACATTCACTATTTCTTTATAACTAATCAATGACACCTCACTCTTCTATAGATATCTCTTTCATCAATCCATCACTAGCAATGTTAGCCAAACGAACTCGACAAGCCCATCCTTTCGTTGTCAACCTTGAAGTATGTCGAACAACTCTCTATCGAAACTCTTTTTCGTCTTTGAAATTAAATGCCGAAGAATACGTATTCCACAGAACTTATAATTTACGGATGTTACAAAAATCCAATACCT